TGGACGCGGGGAAACCAAATTGAAGAAAACACGACGTCTCAAGCTAGGTAAAACAAGCCCGGCAATCACCCTTGGTCCTCAGCATGGCTCCGCGTATTTCCCCCTACATCACCCAACTTAAAGGAAACTCACTTTGGCCCAAAAAGTGATGTTCGGAACAAGGGGGGGAAACTATAGAGAAACATGATTGCAAGGGAACAGCCAAACCAGGCGACCAATCCAAAGCAAGCACAAACCCTGAAAACCGAGACATCGCGAATTCCGGAGGCGAAACTTCTGCGGCTAAAGGGCATCAGCGCGTTGTCCTTGATGTTGAGCGTTGCAAAGGCCCACGCCTTTCGCGTTGGCCAACAGGTGCGGTGCCCCGGATAGCAGCGGACCATCACCATTGCCCAGGTTTGTGAGGGTTGAAAAACAACCCTTTTCAGGTTGATTTAAAAAAGACACCCAGAGGAAATCCACCATTCGGGGAGTTCGCCTATGACACATAAATCCACGAATGTTCAACAGCGGTAGCACGAATTGGTTCACCGCTGGGGTATGAGTGGAAAGAGGAGACCCCTAAACCAATGACGGTTTTCGTCGATTCCGCTTCAAACCCAATTACCAAGGATATCCTGGGAAAAGACCATACACGTTTAGACAACCCCCCATGCCTCACCCTAGACTTCCAAGCATCGAGCTTTGCTGTTGAGCATTTATCGTACCGGTATCTCTCCCTGTTCTGAGTTTGTCCATCTGGTTGTTTTCGAAAAACCAATGCAGGCCTGGACCTGACAAACCTCAAACAAAATTCAAGGCGTGCATGTTCATATTGCAGGTTGAAAAAAAAACACGGCCCTTTTCACATGTGGGGATTTTGGGCAATAATCAATGAACTCCCTTGACGAAAAGAATTCTATGCCAGGCGTATTCCACCCTTTGCACATTGTCGCACCAGACAAGCCACAGGGATAACCCTGTTCCCTCGTGCGGATGCGGTGGCAGAATCAGCCAGCACAGGCCTTTTGCCAGGGTCCTCCTACAAATGAGACTTTAAGAGGGCTGAGAAACGAGTTATGAGACAATATATCAGGGCAACGGCAGCTTGAACCAGGTCCAACTCAAAACCAAACTAAAAAGCTTTCTGGAACGCTTGCTGAACCCCGCCTTGTTACGCCAATTGGCAAGGAGCCTGACAGGAGGTTCCTGGACGATTAGTCCCCTCTTTCAAAAACAAAAACAAAACAAAAAACACCAAAAACAGGACTGCCCGATGGGTTCCAGCTTGGGAGGGGGAGCCACGCTTGAGACGAATTCTGCCGGGGCCCCCTGCGGTGTTCGCCACGCCCTGCGGCGGCATCTCCAACTTCTGCACGCAGCGGCTGATGGCCGACATCATGCCGGGCCTTGGTCAGATTCGTCTGGGCGAATCTCATGGATTCATCTGGACGGGGAAAACGGAAGGAATCCCCCCAATAAGGAATCTTCAGCATAGGTGGGCGCGGTTCACGCTCGTTACGCCATGATTCATAGTGAAAAAATGTTGCCCCTGTGATGCCCAAGGATTCCCAGTCCCATGACTTGTTGGTCACCTTTTGGGGGATGAACCGTTTTACCCCAAGCCAACGTAAAATCCGACGGACGCTCGGTTTTTGCTTTTTCCCCCCCCATGATTTCATTTTGTGGCGCGAGACTCGCGGAATTCGCCGAACCAGCCACAGCACGTGACCCATTCGGGGCTCGATCCCCGCGTTTTGTGTCTGGATAGCAAAGGAACCGGTGGTTGATCGGTTGGTCGGTCGGTCGGTCGATCGGTCGGTTCGTTGGCTCGTTTGGCTGGTTGGTTTGTTGTCAGCTAGTTAGGTGTTGCGGTCCAAAGTCGAACACCCGGGTCCGAGGCGACGCTCCGACCCAACCGACGGCGGGAAAAATTGATGCGAGGATCTTCTTCACCTGTACCCTCGCGAAGGCCCAGGCGATGTTGCTCACGTTCCTCAGGCGAAAAGGGCGACAAGGGCGACTTTGGAGGGTTGCGACATCCACTTCGCACCACTTTGGAACCACGGAAAAACCATGACGTCAGTTGACATTCACTGGGAAATCGTATCATTCTAGGGTTTCTGAGATGGGAAGTGGATTCCGGCCATCCTCACGTCTTCTCTGGGGCCATTCGGTTGGAGCTGCGCGGGGCGGGGTTGGGGTCAAAGTCGGAAACTGGTGGGCTGGTTTTAGACTAACCGCTCATTGGTCGAAATTAGGAATTGGTTCAAAACTAGAACGTAAAAAATGAAGCTCATTCAACACAGAGAGACCCACTAGGGGCCGACTTCTTGATGTCAAAGTAGGAAAATGGCGGGCCTTGTCCCTCGAACCTAGGAAATTTGACTTTATGGTATGGTAAAACCATGGGGCCAGCGCTTGGGTGTTCATAAACCTCAGGTAAGGTATCATGGTCATAAGGCTATTGAAAGCTTGGGATGGCATCGCCAAAATGCAGCTTAGGCTGCTCAGATGGTTTGGGAATTGAGTGCATGGGGGAGTCATCCCCTAGGTTTGCGGATTTGCCATGAGCCTCGGAAGGACCCTCCAATAGATTTATTAGGATTTCAAAAGGAAACCAATTTGAGCTAGTATTCTTGGGGAGGAATCGCATGGCGAGTAACCCCTTATGAGGATCTACAGAGGTGCTAACTGGGCTAGCGCTTAGCTGGAAGAATATTTCTTCCATAAGGACTTCAGGCAAAATGTTTCTTAGACGTGTCCGACATCGGGAAACCCAAAGCAGCTTGCAACTCTGACTTTTTGGAAAAAAGACTTCACAACTGCCCAGTGGCTCCTGGTAGATTCACAAATGGAGCGCATGTGGGTGTGACCCCTTTTTGGTGGATATGCAAGAGACGTCACTGAGCAAAAAGAGAGAACGGGGTGCCACTGAACTAAAGGTGGACATGGACTGAAGCTTTTTCGGTCCCTGGCTCGCCTGAAAAACGCTGCAGTGTGGCAAAACAAGCCGCCCCAAGAAGCTGAACAGGAAACCAAGACTTGGTTGAATCGCACAGATCCTGCAAGTGACATCCTGCAAAAATACACCGCTCACCTTGTCTTCTGAGAACACCTGAAATGCTCACCTCGACCCCTTTTTTCTTGCATCCCTTCGATTCCTGCCATGTGAGGGTGGATCAGAAGGTCCTTACAGAGGATGACCATGGTAGGGAGGATGAACAATCTTTCAACCACAATGGGAAAAGTTACCCATGGTTCAACCTTGAGCCTTTCAGGGAAGTCCCTCCACGATTCCATGGAAGCTCCCACCCCATTTGGTTTCATTTGGGGGCTTTTCAACCGAAAACTGGATCAATGCCATAGGGCTGTGGGACAAATAGGGCTTCCCAGCTTCCCAAAGACTAACCGCCGGTCTAAAGGGGAGATTCCCAGAAGTACTGTGGATGGACGAATCCATTTCGCACCACCTAAGAATCCCTGGTGTCCAGACCATCAAAAATGGGATTTCAACCATGGTTTCACAGTGGTGCAATGGGGTGCAGGATTTAGTCCATCCACAGCATCACAGAAGTGGGGGATAAACCCCGGGTGATCCACCACAACCCTCGGCCATGTGCTGGATCATGCTGGATCCCAGCCGCTGCTGAGCGAAGTGCTCGCACTGAGCCGTGACCACCTGCCGGCCAGCAAATCCGGCCAGCGCCCAAAAGACCACGCAACCAAACAGCGAAGAAAACCTGCGCACAAGCAAGGCACATAACACCAAGGGCAATAACTCAGTCGCCCCTTATTCTGCGGGGTCAAGCGTGTGAAGCTCTTCAAGGCCCCTGGGGTGGGGGTTCCCCAGTTTCATTCCTCTAGTCTTGCCATGAAAATTGAAAATGGGTTGCCACTGGAGATCTCCAGGGGCTGATGGAACCTAAGCTGAACGAATCTTCCAAGCCGCCTGGAAAAAATACTTCGAGTGATAGACTCCCGTCAAAAACCAGCAGGGTTGTTTAATAAAGCACGTTCTTCAGCAAGTGGGGGGAAGGCTGGGATAAGCCGCCAAAGTCCAACTGGTGCCCGGATTGTCTATCAGGTTTTTGGGTTGCTCAGTTATGTATTTGAACAAGGTTTAAGGAAAAACCAGAAGACAACTAACCGCCTTAAGAGGTCCCTAAATTCGAGAAAAGGTACCTCCCAAAAAAGAGACTCTGTGAGGGTATGTGCACCCAACACCTCATTTGTTGGGCTCAAAATCCCTATGTTGAGACACACCCCTACCCAGTGATTCCATTTCCTTGCATAAGTGCGTAGCCAAAAGAACCAACCTTGGAAGGAAAAAACAAAGAAACAAAGAAACAAACAAACAAACAAACACACAAACACACAAACACAGACACACACAGACAACTCGCCAGTGACTCTCAGGTGAGGATTGCTACGTCTGGCAACGTCCATCGCCTTGGCCACATCCTCGAAGAAGGCCTCGTCGCTCCGTCGCAGCGTGGCCAAGGCCCAGCTGGCGTTCGCCAGGTTTTGGCCTCGGATCGACCTCCGTTGGTCGAGGGTTTGGGGCGAAGGCGTGCTGAGGCGAGAGATGCAGGGAATGAGTTGGAATGGCCGTAAAGGAAACCACCAGTTGGATGGGTAGGGGATGATCCGTTTTGGGGTTCCCGAAAAACATAAATCGGGGATGGCGTTTCTTGGGGTCATTCCTGTCTCATTCCCTGCATCTTTCGCACCAGCAAGAAAACGATACAACCTGCAACCAGTTGGAAGCAGTGTCAGTGGGAAATGATGATTTGGTTTGATCAACCTACTGGCGGATTCCAATCTTGGTTTGATCCCCAGGTTCTTGTGGGCAAATGGGTTTCCCCAATCTCCAAGAGGGGCTCCGAACCGTCAGTTACGAAGCTGAATGGTGCAGGTTGTATTTGCCTTCATGGCTCCGGAGCCATTTCCCTTTCAGGGAAATCCAAACCAACTAAAGGCTTCCTGCAACATGCAATCTTTGGAGGCCAAGAATGAGCGCCCTTCGGATTGCCGCAGCCCGAGGTGGTTGAGGATCTCTTAAACGGATCCCAAAAACCAGGTGACTTACCGGATCTTCTAAACCAGCTGGTTGAGGTGATTGGTAGATCTTGTTTAACTACTTCCTTTTTCATAGTCTTTGGTTTAGTCACCCCTTTTTGTTGCAACGGCGTGTGCCATCCAATGCCATCCATCTGGTGGCTTTTGCGGTGCCTCGGGGCCCCCGTACATCACCTGAAGTGGAAGCTCACCCAACCCATGAGGCGATGTTGAAGCGACCAAAATTGGAGCCCTGGAAAACGGGGCCCCCGGAAACTCGGCTCCCTGATCATCTTAACTCTGCCTTTTGCCTTGCCCCTACTTCACCCTTGGGGAGAGGATCGCTGAGCGGATCGCTTTTTGGCTGTCCCTACATCCGAAAGAACCGCCGTGCCGTGCCGTGCTGTCACCATGGGACCTGAACCAACGGAAGCCGAGGCCCTCCGGCCGTTCATCTCCGGCACCGCCTCCCGGCAGCGCTGCACCAGCCTCGGACTTGGGACGGGCTCGCCGTCCCCTTGGTTTGGAGCTCGGTGGTTTGGTGGTGAAACGGAGGGGTTGGGTGGTTCCCCACTTGCCCTCTGCAAGAACCTGGGGAACAAATCCCCACCTAAGGGATACCAACAGTGGAAGCGAACCGGGATTCCCCAGGGCGGGGGCCTTGGCCAAAAAACAAGAAAGACACCTCTCCATGAACGGCTTCCTATGTCCCATCCAAAGGTGTCATATTTGATAGGATTCGTTTGTTATGCAAGTGCGCCTAAGATTGAACAAACAAAAACACAAATAAGTGGATTGGCCTTGTCTCCACATACATGGGGAACTGATGAAACCACCAAACATCCACGGTTTCAGTTTGGTTCACCTGCAGGAGCGGGTACACACCTATGTTCCTTTCCAAGAAGTTGCGGGCATCAAACATTTGGGTCTTGCCAGGGACATCTGTAGTCCAGCTTTCCGGTGATTTATGGAGTGGCCACGGGGGCTCTCTGCAGGGCTTTGCAGATCTGGGAGGAAACTTGAGGCACTTGGGACAAGCGCCCCCTTCAAATGTCGCCCCAACACCTGGAAGACCGGCCGCCGCAACACCTGGTCGGCTCCCAAGAGCCCGAGCTCAATTTGCCCATGGGCCAAAAGCCCCGTTAGCCCCGAGTGAACATCCCAATCCAACCACTAAAATCGGAAGTCGAAAATGGGTGGTGAATTCACCTACCAACCAAAATGGGATCCCAAAACGGTTTTGACCACCACAGCCATTTAGCAGCTTAACCAAGTGCTGAAAAATCCGAGCTCGAGGCTCGTCCAAGGGCCAGCCCACCTGCGCGGCAAATGCGGATGAAACTCACTTGGGGTCCACGTATCTAGCCTTGCTGACAAGAGGAAAAAGGATCTTTACATTATACGCCTGTATATTTTAAGGGGCCCTGTTGTTGACAAGAGGAAAAATGGAACTTCACGGGCCATTCTGGGGTCACATGCACGTTTGGGGTCAAATGCCCAGGAAAAAAAGGGATTTGGACATGGAGCTGCCTGTGTGTCAAAACCAATTGGACCCCGTCCAAACGTTGGCTGCATGGTGGCGTCCTGTCATACTGACCTTGCTATTGACGAAACATGGATTCAAATAAGCACTCCCAGTGAGGCATGAATCCCAACTAGATTTCCAGAAAGATCAGACACCATCGGACACCGATACCTCCGTAGGTTTAGAGTTGCCCAAGCCTGGAAAAGTCTGCAAGGCATCCCCCCTCTACCAAAGAGTGGGCAAATTGAATGGAACTAAGTCACATAAGTCACATAAGGCAATACTTGCGGGTCATGAGAAATAAACACCATAATTACGCAAGAACCACTCCATCCCTGAACTGAAAGGCCATGACATGTTACCACAAAATCAACTTCTGATGAGTTGCACCATGATGGTCAAACAACTGGCATCAAATGGGGCGAAAACAAAAAAGGACACTCCCCAGCTCCAAATGTTTCAGCCCGTGCCCTGGCCATTGCCAACCACCCCAAGCTCCACCCGACGCTTTCAAACCACCAAATCCCAACCATCACGAGCTCCAAGCTCCAAACTCCAGGCTTTCCCTCAAAACAAAAACCAGCCCGAATCACCACAGCCAAAGGAAGGGGTCGCAAGCAATGGCCATCCCCAACCAAAGGCATGGCATAGCCTCCTCCGCAACGGGGTCTGCGGTCAGTTTTCCGTCCCAACCCCCCTCCCCACCCCCCCACCACCCCCGCCACCCCCACCACCCCTTCCCCTCACCCCACCCCTACCCCCACCACCCCGCTCCACCACTCCACCCCTCTCCCCGCCTGCAGCTTGGCTACGGCCCAGGCCAAATTCGCCAAACCCAGCGGCGCCAACTCCCCCAGGCGCCCCGCAAAGGCTGGGCCCAGATCTGGCGGCCTCACCGGAGTCCACCCAAACTCCCGAGGGGCAGATAGCAGACATGTATAGAAATATACAAATATAACATATATATATATACAGGAATATTTATTTGTGTATGTAAAAAAACATATATGTATTTGTATGTCTATGTTGCAGATATGTATGTGTGTGTGTAGGTATCTAGGTTGATACTAGATACACATACGTGTGTATATAGATGAGAGATATTAGGAAAATAATCATCATATACAAACCCCCCAAAAGGTAGGTGTTGATGCAGAGGATCACCTCTGAAATCAATACACCTGAATGTCACTTGGCACATGTTTTCAACCCTTGAAGAAACAGCTGGTATGAAGTGGCAGGCGGGATTCCCCGGATGTGGCAAGCATGCATCAATTAAGGAAATGGCTATATAGTGGTTGTATACCCTATGTTTCCTTTAAAGGCGGTGGTTGAGGATAGTAGGAACCCTGCGCGTTTGGCGGTTTAGTGGCTACAACACTGTTCTACAGTGCCAGCTCACTTGCCCCAAGAACCTGGATATAAAAGGCTTAAACTTCTGGAGGCTTGGTTCGGTTGGCGAAGAAGGTTTAGGATTGATTCAGGTGGGGATTTAGGGGCCACATGGAACGGGGGAGTGGGACACCATTCAAAAGACAAGCACCGCATCTGGCAGGACTATGGGTTGCTTTTTGAGCAACCCAGGCAGCCCTCACCATGCTCTGCAGAGGTTACCAACTTTGCCAACGAGCGCAACCCACGATGTGCAAGATAGCAACCGCGTGAAACCTAGCCAGAGCAGGATAAATATAGTCCGCTGGTTCAAAAAAAAAAGGAAAAGAAGGCGACGAAATCCAAGCCCACGAGTCTGCAATGCTCTACTTCTATCCGGGGTGAACACATGTCTTGCTCCGAGTGGCTCTTCGGTGCGAAGGGTCGCATAGGCCCACCTCAGCCAGCTGACTGTCTGCAGCTGAACTCGGTTGCAGGCATTGAGTAGGGGAGTGGTGCGAATTTCGTCCTGGAATAAGTTTGTTATGGAGGCCCGGTGGCTTCAGTCTCCATACTTACCCTAGTTTGGTGGCTTGGGGTTGGAGAACCTCCATCAACTGACCACCTGCCGGCAATTCGCTCCTGACCACCTGCCGACTCAAACCAGCTCCATTACCACCGCTCCATTTCCGGGGCCAAGGCAACCAACCCAGTTGCTCACATTCCAGGGCTGCCGGTTGAAAGCCCATCAACACATGCGCTGCTCTGAGGGTCTTGGCTTGGAAAAACGAAAGCTGGCTGATGGAGCCTTAGGGCGCGGCATCATGTTCACCAGCCTTGGCCCGCTTGCGGTGAAGGCATCCGAAACCAGAACCAAAGCACCACGATTCGACCCGCCAAAGCGGGTCGAACCCTTGGCAGTTCAGAGCAGCAGGTGAAGTTCGGCAAGGAAGGCCGGCCCAATGTGCGTGTGAGAAAGCGAAATGATTTTCGGTAGCCCCCCTCAGACTGATGCGTGCCGAATACAGCAGAACGGCATGCACTCCCTGAGCCGATCAAGTGAAGCTCAGCTTTTGCCTCCCAACAGACTAGGCCAATTCCGTTAATTACGCCAAGCCGTGGAACGTGCGACATGCTGAAGGCACGGAAGTGAAAGATCTAATCTGACTTGTGCACACCTGCAACTGTGAAATCGGGGGTCTGGCAAAATTAAACGATTTGCCCATCCCCTTTTCGGTTTCCCGTTGCGGGTAAATATGGGCTATCAAGGCACCAGTGGCAAAGCCATGAGGGGTCAACATTGCACCTCGGACAATCAGTGATGTATCAGTAACATCCACGATCAATGCTGGTTTCATCAGTGAAAACAACAGCGCGCTGATCGCACATTCCTCATTAACATCTCTGGCTCTCATTTTTGCGTTTCCACAAATCCAATAGCTTGTTGCGTGACTGCAGCCGTTGTGTGCACTTTTTTGGTTCAAGCTCTTCCAGCTGTCCCACTTGTGGACATGGCTGCTTCCATCATGGGCTGAACAGAAGCGTCAGAAATCAAAGTTGCAAGGCTCAGCCCTGCGCCAGACGCGCAGCAGTCGCTGTGCAAGATCGCTGTACTTGAAAAGACTGTAAACTGGAACCGCGTCCGCTCAAGGTCGCCTCTATACAAGTATGTGCCAGCTCTATTCGATGCAAACCAGTCAAGTCTCGCTCTGGGGTATCAGGGCCACCCCGGATTGCCCACCTGCTGTGCTTTCTTGTAGCGGTGAGTCCCTGGATCCTCCTCGAAAACCATCAGAGTCTCATTTCCCAAGGCCATCTCTCGCAAGGCTAAGGTGGAGTTGGAGGCCCCTGCAGTCCCATCCACCACAGCGCTGTGGTTCGACCTGAGGTGTCCTGACGGGCAGCTGTTCATGTTGGAAATGCCATAGTCGCCGTCGTCCAGGGGAGTGAACGACTTGGAAGAGCCGCCCAAGCCATCACAGGTGCTGGCCGTCTTCCCGGTGTCCACATCATAAAACCTCGGCGAGTTCGGACGTTCAATGATGGTGGTCTTCGAATTCTTCACGCAAAATGTCCCTGCATCACCCAGGCTACTGAAAGTTACATCGCTGCTGACGGCATCTCTGCCATCCACCCAATCAAAAAAGGCATAGAGCCAAGTGCCCCTTGCAAAGCAAAGCCTCACCTGGTTGCCCCGGTTCACTCGCCACCAGGCTTCCGTCTTCCAATTGTCGCTGCCACTGATCTTGTAGCCCACGGCCATCTCGAAATCCGCGACGCGGCACCTATTGCGGATGGTGTGGCACTCAAGATCAGGCGTCCCTCCGGAGCCGCCTGAGCCTCCAGACGCGCTCCGATAGCCGAGGACCAATGCGTGGCGGTTGGGCTCCTTCACGCACCACTCCCCGCATTTGCCGCAGTTGAAGCCCCAAGGGAAACAAACGCGGCAGTTGCAGACCTTGCACTGATAAGTCAGGATCTTCACGGCGGCCTCCTGGCCATCCACAAAGAAGTTTGCCCCCGTCCGGATCTTGTCCATGATTCCCATCTCATCCACTGCCCCGTGTGAAATGGCCGCCTTGAAGAGCTCGGTAACCATAAGCTTCTGGAGGATGGGGGCTGCGCAAAGGGCCAGGAGCGTGCCACCCGAGGCGGCCCCCGCACCTGCGCAAGCCAACCAGGTGATGTAGGACACCCAATCCGCTTCATAGACGGTCACCACGTTGGTCCACTCTCGCTGCATCTTCTTCAAGGGTTCACGATTGCACTTGGCCGCTGTAAGCTGTGCGTGCAAGGCCAAGATGAGGACGATGAGCGCAAGTGCCTTCGTCTCCTTCGACATGGCGAGGAACGCAGAGCAGCACGTCGGACCTTCAATGAACTGCGGAATGTCTGTAGGGCTGCTGCCTGCACTGAGCCGCAATGCTATTCGGAGCTGTGTAACTTTGGGGACAAAGTGAAGATGTGAATACTCCAAGCAACCAGTCTCAACTTCCGCTGCATGGCTTGCTCATCTGTCAGAATATGCGACATGGGAAGTTTAGTGAGTCCCCATTTCCCTCACTGGGGAAATTGACCTTCAAGGTCATTTGGCCATGGGTCAAAATCCCGTACAAGTAGCCCCAGTGAACCCCGGTGGTGCACATACCCCAAAATGGTACCATTGGTTTTGACCCACAGCCATTTCGAGGCCTACGGAATACTCCCCCAGGCGATTCCATGAGCAAAAACCCAGCGAACTGTCTGACCAGTTGAAGGCCACCTTGGCATTCAATGTTCAGCACTCGTATTTCCCTATGGACCTCAAGAACAGTCCGCAGAAAAGGGCGCTTCAGCCAAACAAATCCAAAAAGCCTTGTCACAAGCATGGATGTTGTTGCTCCCTTTTCTCCGAAAATCCGGATATGTTCGGATTCGGACTCTGTGTCAGGCGTCGGTCGGCGCTTGGGTGTTCAACCAGCTTAGTAAGTGGGGTATTCAGCCTGGTAATGGTCCCGACGAACCCCAGGCAAATGGTTACAACCTACTTCCTTGCAAGGGTTTACACTTATCTTTCATCAGCACCCCGAGGTGGGGTTTGCCTTGTTCTTGGTCGGGAAGCCAGGTGGCCAACCACTTCATGTTTTGCATCGCCCCCTCCCCCCTGTTGCCGCGCCAAAGGTGCTGCTGCGGCTCGAACTCCGGGAGTTTTTGGAGGGCCTCTTCCGACACCTGCGCTCCATCGGCATGCTGTTCAGCTATGGGGACCGGAATTGAGGGAGCCCCAGTTCAGCCCCAAAGAAGGCGCTCAGGGCGTCTTTTTTGGGCTCCCTCCCCCCTCGCTGCCCCCAAGGTTGAGGTATGCAATGTCCGTCTTGTCCTTGTTTAAAACCCCGCACAAACTTTGCAAATGAGCCATGAAAAACACCTCCAAACTCCCATCCCCAAAGATAAATTCCCATGCTCGATGATAAAAAAAAGATCCCCATGAACCATATATTTTGCATGGCTCAAATAATTATCTCGGTGAAACGTTGAGTCGAGTCAAAACAACTATACAAATGCGACAAATCGCTTCTGTCATCTTCTTTCCAATTTGGCCATTGTCCAGTGGAGGTATGACCAGGTTTAATCATCATCGTCAGTCTCCGCCTCTCCTTCACACACATTCGCGACCTGGATGTAAGCGCCAAAGAAGCGCTCGCAGCCACCATCCATCCAGCAAAGGATGCACATGGCTACAACTGTAGCAGGAACATAGAAAAAGACTAAGGCAAAGAAAAGAGGCTGCCAGGCAGAGAGCTCTTTGGCTGCCTGCGAGGGATCCCCCAAATGAAGCAATGGCAGACCTTCCCCGGACTTGACGTCAAAATGATCGGCTGCCAGCTTCAGACCCAGGTTTAACTCCCTAAGGCCATCGCTCCCACCACTGTACCTGCCGACCATGCGACCCAGACTTGCTACCCAGCCACAGAGTCCACTTCCCTGATCACATCTAGGGACTTTGCCCAAAGAAGTTGCAGTTCCAAGCGGATTTAGCCACGAGTCGGGTGCATCTTCTCGTACGATGTCCCATGCGCACACTTCCGAATTTCTGCAATCTGAGAACCCCAAATGGCCATCTTGAGCATCACATGGCACAATGGGCCTGACCAGGAAGCTGCAAGAATTCCACGGAGCCCTGTCGGTCACTCTATCGCATTTGCGCACTGTGACCGGAAAGGGCTTGAACAGGCGGCTGTCGGAGGAGATAGCTCCATCATTGAAGTACAGACCCTGTGTAGCATCCTTCCACTCGTTTATGTCACACACGTGAAGTCCTTGCAGTGGCGTGGCACTGAGTTGCCAATACTGATGTAGCGGCGACTCGTTGTTCATGGAAACTGCAAAGATGAGGGAGAAAAGGACCAACCAACAAATTGAGCTGACGCAAATGCAGGGGCAGAACAGCCTTTCGTGCATCCTTTTGGTGAATATGCCAGCCGCCATGAAATTGAGGAAGAATCCTCCGCAGAACAAGACGACCACGCAGAAGAAGGCCAAGAACCCGCTGGCGAAAACTCCGGCATGCTGGTACACAAAGTCGAGGTGGCAGGCCACGAAGAGCACCGCGAAATCTTGGTTGCTGCAACGACCCCCCGGCAAAAAGTTTCAACCTTTTGGGGGTTTAGTGGAAAACACTTTTCTTTCCCAAAAAGCTAAAGTCTAAAGATCCAATCCAATAGCAGCCAAGAAACATGGAACCAAGCTCAAACATGCAAAAAGCGTCGGCGTTTCAATCTCCTCTGTCACGAAAGCTTCGAGAATCTGTTGTCTTGCAGGCAGCTGCATGGGCACCTTGGACAGGTTGGTTTTTCCTTCGAGGACTGCCCCATGAAGAGCTTGAGCCAATGCCACAAAAGATGTTTGGACTGCACCAGGTCGGCCAAGAAAATCCATTTTTTTTGGAAACCCGCCATCACGTGACGTCTATGTTGCGAGCAACAATCATGAAATCTCGAGGCAACTCTGGAGACAGGCAGCTGGGGCTCTCCATTCCTTCTTGCAAATTGGGGGCTCCCTGTTCTTCCGTGGCAAGTTGCTTCTCTTCGTGGGTTTGTCAACAGACAGACTCTTACGGGTTTCGAAGGTGCGGGCCATGGCTGAAAAATACCACCAGCACAACAGTCGAAGGGAACTCCAAACCTCGAGCGCCCGCTACATGCAACCAATAAAAACATGATGTAGGCTTGCTTGCGTGAATGGCATGGACAGAAATGGCTTGCCATGGTCTACCAGGTGCCAGGAGTTTAACGAGGTATGCAGCTGTAGGAAGGGTATATACCCTTGCTTTCTCCCGTGGGTTGTGGGCCAATGTCCGCTTCGAATTCAAGCCCGACATCAACATCTGGCTTAGTCCATGGGAAGCTTGGTTCTCAGGGCCAGGTTCTAGTTCTGTGACACCCCAAAAAAGATCCCTTACAGGGATGAAGTAGTCATGCAGGATGCCCTGCTTTCGGCGGACGCTCCCAGGGTTCGGCGAATCCCAAGTTCGATGAGAACGCGACAAAATCCTGCACCACCTAAGAAACCCTGGATTGATGATTCCCCTGCAAATGCTAACCAGCATTGGTTTCAACCGTGGTTTCAAAGTGGTGCGAAATGGATTTTGTCCATCCACAGCATTCCCGTGGCGGGATTCCAGTCATGGTTCGAATTCCGCGGTGCGCTTTTTATGGCTTTCGCAACCATCCCACAGAATTTGCTCATCCGGGGCATAGCTTCAGCCTTTGAGTTCAATAGCACTCATAGCACCACCAGATCACCAGATCCGGGCCTTGGCCACGAGCTTATGAAGCTTTAGGTCCAACTTCGCCATGGCCCACACGATCTTCGACCTGCGAAGCGCTTATTGTTCAGCGCGAGCGCGAAGTGGGGCGGGACCCAAGTTTTGGGGTGCCTCCCAAAAGGATCCGCCCATTTGGGGCTGTGACAAAAAAACATGTGAAATTCGAGCCATGCCAATCATGCCCACATCTTGATGCATGGAATGGGTCATCCCGAGTCATCCCCGTAGTATGTTCCCTTTGTTTCAGCCTTGGTGCTGGCCTGGGCTGTCCCGTTTTCAGATCTGCGAAACGTGAGCGAATATAACTTTTAGGGGGCCAAATTCGGAAACCCAACCACCTTTCACCAACTTACAAGATCTAAAAAGCTAAGGGACCGACGGGATGGCTTTGAGCCATCCGGAGTTTCCAAGACCTGACGAACCTGTGCTCCCTGGTTGCCCCTGCACTGCACCCGCAGGACGGTTGCTTCGACAACTCTGCATCTCCAAGGGGTCTGGGAAACGGAAACTCGCTTCTGATCGAGTGGATTGGCCAAAACCCGCCCAGACTTGTCTCTTGCCGGAACGGGGGTGAAAAACCTCTCCCCCCTGGCCCATGGAAGCTGAAAGGTCCCCGGACGGCTCAGATCCCAATGCCCAATGGAAAGACACATGTGCCCTCTTTCTCGGATCAAGGGTACCCACCAAACGTTATATTCACCTTTCAGAAGGTGGACAGCCCAGGCCCGCACCTATGGTTGAAACAAAGGGAACATGCAATACTACGAAGATGACCCCCTTTCATGCATCAATTCTTGGGGCGTGGGCATGGCTCGAATTCCTGTGTTTCCCAAAGATATCCAGCCCAGCGGCATGGTCTGTGGCTTCTTCAGCTTGTCCCACTTCACAAGCTCGCCTCGTGGCTTTCTCTCATGGCTTTCTCGGGCGGAGGCTTTTTTGATGGCACTCTGTTCAGGTTGGTTGAACAAGGGGGCCAAGAGGAAAGGAGCTTGTCTATGGAGTTCCCCCCCCGCCCCGCCCCCAAAGGCGACACGTACCCATACGGGAATCACTTCTTGAGTAGATTGGTCGGAAAGAGTCCGAACGTTTTGCTTACCAGGTTGCCACTAAAACCGCCTTCCCGAAAAGTATCAAGTTCACGAACTCAGGGAGTGAGACTAGAACACCTAAACCATAATTCCAGAATTGGGGGATCTGCGACCTTCACTGGGCTCGTTTCTCTCGAAGTTGAGTGAGCTCGTGCCCAGTGCCAACCAGGCATGGAAGAGGTCGGAAAGCCTGAGAGCGTCGGCCCGGAGACTCGCTTAGCACCCTGAAATTCCTTGAGCACAAGCCCTCTGCATGGGTATTCAACCAATTTAGAAAGTAGCTAGCTGGCTATAACTTGGGTAGGTGTTAGTCCCAAGTTAGCCAGGCAGGGCTATAGCTACTTACTAAGTCGGTTGAACACCCAAGTATTGAGCGGCCCTAAAAGGGATCTATCAAGTGGGATCAGCACCGCGGCGAGATGCGGCATGTTTCGCCCTCGAGGCGTCGTGATGCGTCGTGATGCGTCAGGGTATTCAAACAACATCTGGCAAACAAATACTGAAACAATGTGGAAACCCTCCGGCAAGGAAAGCTCAACATCAAGCCGGTCAGCCTATGAACTCTATGGCTGGGCTGCCTCGGGCAGAAACTTGATGCATCGTGATGCATCTTGATGCGCGCCAGAAGCGCCGTGATGCGTCTGGATGCGCGCCAGAACCCACATGATAGAACCCATTTACGGCCGCCTGAAAGTACCCATCTAGTTGGTCTGTGCCGCAACTTGGACACCAGGTCGTAAGGCGGACGTGCCCACGGGCCCACGTCTCCCGCTATTTACTAACGGATATACCGGGATTCCTCAAGTAGAGCCCGTATTTGTCCGACGCCAATATTCTATGTTCAATGGCCTTTGCCGCTCCAAGGGCGCAAGAAATAGAAACACTGGCCTTCTGTGCGCATGAATCTGAAAAATCGGCAAGCGCCCTGACAAACCAGCTAAACAAACCCAGGAACCAACCTAAACAAGGCCAAGGACACACCTGTTACATCACATCTGCTGCGGCCTATACTGCATTTCCCCCCCTCAAGTGGATGAATCAGCCCATTGAAACTGCCGAGTCACCGCCACTCAAAGAACAGGTCGCCCAACTCATAGAAGAACAGCTTTTTTGGGACCAACTTCCTGAACATCTTGCATCCACCGTTCCTTACTTGCTGGTGCAATAGGTGGGGAATGACCTTCCGGGAGTTGGTTGCATGAACCTAGGAAATCCTTTAAGGGAAACCAAATCAGATGGATGTTTTTTGCTTGGGGTCATTCCATTTCTGCCTATCGAACCATCATTCCTTATGCACTTGTTCGTGCCCAAGCCACTGCTAGCCACAGCTGCTGCCCGTGGAATTGCGGGGAGTACCGTGATGGCTTTCGCACCCAGGAATGAGAAATGGAACAACCCCACGAAAAAACATCCCCCGATTTGGCTTCCTTGAAGGGAATCCCCAAAACCGGCTCATGCAACCCCCACGTAGGCTCGGTCATTCCCTGCCTACCGCACCAGCAAGAAGTCATGTTGCTTTCAGCTCGCATCCCCAAACCCAACTAGGATTTTGGGGAGTTAGGTCTTCCCTACCAAAAATGGAGTCCAGGAACTCCGGCAACTCAGGGAGTGAGATGTGCATCGGGAAACCGAGCGTACGTTTCTTGGCGTCAGCGGGCTCGACGGTCTGGGACGCCCCGCGCGTGGCTTTCGACGCCAAAGCTCTGAGCCGTTCGTCCCCCTTCACCTGGGCGAAACAACGACCGAGCCGGCGCAGAAAAGGAACCGGAGGTGGGTTTTGACCCCACATGGGGCAGACTCCCACGCAAGTGGTCTTCTTTGGTTGCCCTTGAAATATCTTGAAATCTTTGAACATGCGCCAACAAGACACGCCCATGTAGACGGGGAACCCGACTTTCACCCTTCAGTTGCTGTTGTGGTTGGAACATTTTGAGAGGCCCCGTTCTTTTCGTCCTTTTTGAGAGGCCCCCTGTTCTGTTTGTTTTTCTTTTTTTGAGGAACATATGGACCTCTGCTCTTTTTCAGAGGCCCCACCTCTCTGGCGAGAGGATTCCCTTCAAGGGACCTCCCCGAAAGCGAGTGGCGGTGCATGAAGTTCCAAGGTGCGTTGTGAAATCCCTTCGTACCACGAAATGAAACCATGGTTGAAACCAAACCGATTGATATTTTGGAGAATCGCGAGTCCAGGGTTCTTTAGGTGGCGCAGGATTTCGTCCATCCACTGTATGGAATGAACATGCTATACTATACTTACTATACATGCGAAGGGTTCCGTACTTTCGGCCGCACCTTTGCATCAAGACAAAATCTTGGTTGACGTTGGGTTTGGGGAGCAAAAAATTAAATTTTAGCAGCTAAGTGGGGAGTTCCCACTAAACCACAATAAGCAAAAATGTAAAATGTTTCCCAACGACAACCAAGAAATGAGCTTTTTCGCAGGCAGCCAGCCAAAGGTCCTAATGCCTGCCGTCAGCCTGTGCTCGCCCGCTGATGCTTAGTGTGCTCAGATGTGGCAGGAATCGCCAAGGCGTTTGCAACAAGGCCTGGTTTGGACTCCACTTCTGATCGAGGGCACGCCTTTTCCCCCGTCCCTCTGCCGAGTTCGAACCAAGAAGGATGACCACACATTTTGCAGACCCATTCATTTTTCCCCCGCTGCCTTCTAACCAATGCCCCGGGAACAAACTCCCCAAAGCTGCTACACTCCTAGTGTCCCTGCTTTGGGCAGGCTCTTCTCGTTGGTGGTACGGGACCCGCCAGGAAATCACTCACTCTCGGCTTCATTTCACTTGAAGACCCCTGGTGCGGATGATGCCGATGACAGCACTCTTTGTTCCCCAAGCGGGCAGGAAACATGCGCCGCAGATCGCGATGTTGGGACCTCTTCCCGTCGACGCCTCGTGGTGATCTGCGGCCTTGGCGATACGGTGCAGCGCCGCGGACCTGAAGCCGGCTGGATCCGTGGAGGCCTTCCGTCCGGCTGGCGGGTGCTGAGGGAAGGGAAAATGGGGGTCTTAAAGGAAACCACCCGGTGGATGGTTGGGGTCATGAGTCATTCCCTCTTTCCCTCTTTCCCTGAACACCAGCAAGATGGAAAACCCCTTTTTTCAGTAGTGGTTAAAAACCAACAGGGGAAACTAACACATATTCTTAAGCAGATGGAAAACAGCAGCATTGGCCACGGCTTCCTTTTGGCAGCCTGGGGAACATGAAGATTGCCCCATTTCCCAGCGGGAAAAACAAAGAACTGAGTGATGCGCATGTGCCGAGGCTGGTTCCACCTAGGGAGCTTCAAGCCATGCCTCCGCGGTCCCTAGATCGCTTGGGTCGGTGCCCAGAAATGCCAACTAGTCGCCAAAAGTTGATTGTTGTCACTCGAAATTTTGATCTAGTCGCTTCGGTCACTCGAAATTCCGAGAAATGGAGATGCCAACTCCCACTTGTCGATTGCCACCTAGTCACCAAACCCGTCGGAAGCTTCCACGGCCACTTCTGAAGCGGCGCCCCGGTGACTTGATGTGCAAAGCTTGGAACGTTGGTTCCGTGGGCGCGGGTCCTTTGTAAAGGAACCCACCAAAATGATGTTCCTCTTGGCCCCCCTTTAAAAAAAGAGGTTCCCCCAAAAAGGACAGACCCACATCGACATTTGCTTTGTGGCAGTTCAAAGTCACTCTGCTGCTGGTGTGGAGATGTGGCAATATTTAAGGAACCCGGCCCACACATGGACCAGCGTTTTGAGTTCAGCTAGGCCCTCCAGTAGAGAGGTAAGGGCACCCTTTCTTCTGTAGTTTATTCTAGTAGGGGAACCCTCCCAACCAGAAAGGGTAAAAGGGTACTACTGGGGGACCTAGTCAACCTCTTCGTGCCCGACCGCTGCACGGTTCTTTCCTCTCGCGCGACCGGAAGCCTCGCCGGCGAGGCCTCTGCGACAAGCAAAAAAAGGGAAGGCCAAGCGCGAGGTGCTCAAAGTGCAGTTTCCCCGCTGAATGTCATGCCTTGGGTGATATTCTGCCACCCAACCAAGAGGAAATATAGGAAACCCTGGTCCTTGCTTTGACTTCCAAAGGGAATCCCCCCCCCAAAAAAAATGGACAACACAAAACCCAGAACGGGCCAGATCCACTTAAGGCGTTTGCAAAGCTTGGGTTTCTGCCAGGCTATGAAGTGTTGATTGATTGTCCTGTCCTGTTTGAATGATCACCGTGGTTAGCCCCAAAACGACTTGGCAACTGGCTGCAAACCGCGGGCTCAAGGCCATACAGCTCCCTCAATGAATTGTAGGCTAAGGGCTCAAAGGCTGCGAAGGCCCCTAAAAAGACCGCCCGCGTGTATGAAACAAAACCGCTCAAACATCTGTTCACTTGCTTGCTTGGGCCCTCGAAAAACGGCTTGGCTCCGGAAAGGAACACGCATCTCCCAGAAACCCCTCAAGGGAAGGGTGCCAGGTGCATTCCAATCAGCCTGTCGAAACTCCCGCAGACCAACCTGTCCTATGTCCAAAGCCAGTGCTATGGCATGGCATGGAGAGAACTGGGGCCGCAGGCTCATGGGATCGGCCCCTGGCGTCCCTAGGATCGGGGCTCTTGGCCTGCCCCCACTTCCAAGAAAAAACAGCCCGTGTTGGCGCCAGGAAGCCTCGTCCAACCCTTAAGGTTTAAAAAGTTTATGTACATATAGAAACATATCTTGCCATCCCCCTACTCAGCTCTCAATATCAACCTTTTTCAGGGACATATTGAACAACAAACAAAAAAAGAAAAGGGTCAGACCCCTAACAAAAAGGCGAGCATTTGGAGTGGGGGGGGGGTTGCAATTCAGCCCCACCGTCTGAGCCCCGCCCTCCCCGGCCTGTCAGGTTCACTGGTGGCTTCAATGAGCCATCTGTGATACCAAACTGGGCGCTGTTCTCCAGGAACAACTTTTTGGGGTGGCTTCAAAGAGCGCGGATTCGGAAGGTTCCCTAGTTTGAATCAAAACCAACAGGGTGTCTGTTTTGGGGGCGCCCCACAAACGGTGGCTCTTTCGTTGGGTTCCCTTTAAGCCCCACATAAAATAAGAACCCTCAAAAGACACCCTGGATCGCCTGTTCCTGGATCGCCTGTTGCTGCTTTTTCTTAGCAACCGTAATTGTTTCTAGGCTAAAGTGTCTGGAAAAAGCAGCAGCTTGGCCATCCAGGACACGCACATGTTGCCGTAAGGACTGGGTGCAGCCCAGGTGCCATGAGCGAGCTGGAAGCGCCTAAGGTCGGCCAGAATCTGAAGGTTTAGGAGGGGCTTCAGAGGTTTCTGGCTCAGGGATGAATGCAGCCGCCGGTTGGAACGTTGGGAAGTCGGTTCTTGCCTCTAGGAGAACCAATGTACTTGCAAAGGGTATGGGCGATTCTCTGGGCACTCTGCCCAGCAAAAATGCACTTTAGGAAGTCTAGCTCCAAAGCTGCCGATCAACCTGAAGAGTCCAAAGAAACCAAAATTGGCGCCCTCGGAAAAAAAAAGGCGAGCCCATGTCCGATTCTCCGGCTGCCTGATATATGCATCCATCTTGGAGGGCTTTGGAACAACGAGTCGCCTCTTTGCAGAATTTGCAGCCTGCCCCCCTTCCCCCAACGTAAAACAATTGGGCGGTCTCACGTGTTTTACCCTGATTCTCCTTCAAGGCAAACCCAAAAAGGGAACTGCCGGACAAGACACGGCCAATAACTCGTCATGCCACACTGCAATCACAACCTAGGTCCTCCAGTAGAGGGGTTAGAATGAGGGTACTTTTTTTTGCCTGTAGTCTATTGTAGTAGGGGAACCCTCCCCAAAAAAGAAACGGTAAAAGGGCACTACTGGGGGACCTAGCAACATTTGGCCAACGCGTTGACCAAGAATCTCGTCGTGATTTGGCTTCCTTGGCGCCTTCGGCGCCAAGGAAGCCAATGTCAGAAGACATGGCCATGGGTCAAAACCCCGGTTATGGCCACATTAACGATCAGTGATACCTTCACTGGTGCGTTCTAGTCCAAAAGCCAACTACCACTTCGCCTGAATGACAACACCAAGGCCAATGCTACCGGCCACAATGACAGTGGGCTGATGCTACTGGCCATCCCAATGCCTCGCGCTGTACATGTGCAGGCGGAGCCGGAAGAGTTGATGATCTCCAAAGCCATGGATCCTTTGTCTTCGTGGTCCAAACGGTGGCAGTGGAGCATCATCTCCCCTCCAATGTGGGTGGTCTTGTAGCGCATGGTGACTGGGTCGCGAGTAAGCCCCTCGCCCATGAAGGTGTCATGCCAGTCCCCAAGCCGGAAGTAGTCACTGTTGGCAAAACCCGCCACGAGTTGGAACGGGTAGAGGTGCTGATGATATGGATGGCCTTCCGTGTGCAGCTTGCGTTCAACGATCGCGCCGAGGAAGGTTTCATGCAGCACTTTCTGGTAAGAAAATGTAATGCCGTTGATGGACTCAGCCTCGACTGAGGTATCACAGCTGCAACCCGCATTTGGACCCGTGTTCTGCAAGTCTTGCAAATAGGCTGGCAAGGATGGCAACCAGGCGACCAAGTTGGAGCTGGCGCCGGCCACGCTGGATGTTCGCACTGTGGAGATCAGCACGCCTCCGCTGGTCACGCTGTAACTCGTAGAAGGCGCACTGCACCGCACCATGATGTCAGCGCGGCCCCCTGCAGGGATGGCGGCCACGGTGATCGGGCGGGGGAAGTCGCTGATGTACAGACCATCCTTGGCCAGGAGCTTCATCTCGCAGTCGATGGCGAGGTTCAGTGCACCTCTTCGCACGTTGCGCCAGCCGGCAAAGATCACGCGCCACCGTTGCCACTCGCCGGGGTCCATTGCTAGCTCAGGGAGGTGCTCACCGTTCAAGAGCATGAGGTCCGGGCCGTCTGGGGCAGACCAAACCAGGGTGTCTTTAGACTGTTGGGCGATCCTGTTGAGCTCCACAAGCCCAAAATCCTGTACCACCATAATCACCTCCTTTGCAGATTCCACCTGCTGCGGCAAGCTGCTTGCCGGATCCTCAACAATCAGTGCCAGCGCCGCACCCCCTCCGACCTGCAAAGCGGATGAGCCGTGCCGATGCGGGTGGATCCAGTGGGTGCCAGGCATATGATCCTGTGGCAGAACAACCTCGTACTGGAACTCTTCCCCAGGCTTCACCACCAACTTCGTGTCATCTGAGGGCAGCTCCGCCGGCACATGCAGCCCGTGAAAGTGCAGATTGGACTCGTCCACATATCCCAGCTCGTTGTGCTGTCGCCTTGCACCCGGCTGGGCCGGCAGGCGGTTCTGGAACAGAAGGCGGAGCCGGTCCCCGGCCCCGGCAGCGTGCCATTGAAGGTGAAGGCCTTCAGCGTCACCGAGTTGGCCAAGTGGGAGCCGACCTCCAGCGTGAGCACTTCATCCAGCACACCCCCAACGGAGCTCACACTCCTCGGCTCCCTCATGGAGCCGAGGGCGCCTAGGCAACTGCGCCTAGAAAGAGAGCAAGCTCCTGAGCCAGATGCGTCGGCTGGCATACTGATTGACTTCAGTTCAGCAAAGGGGCAAGTGATGGAGTAACCCTCACGCCTCCTTGTCCCCGGCTTTCATGCATTAATCTGAAGCTGCATCCGAAGCAACCCGACTTCGCGAACACAAGGCTCCTTGTAGCCTTACATGCCCTTTAAGCATCACCCCCCAAAAAAACTGAGAAAAACAAACAAGCGCTTTCCCAAAGCAATGCTTCATAATATGTCATAATGCTTCAACTTATCCAGAAAGTGGGAATAAAGGCTCTTCAAATTCTGGCACCGTGGCCGGTTTCTTTTTGGGTTCCCTTTCAAGCCCAGAAACACGCATGGCTCACAGGTGTCCCTCTCCGAGTGCCTGCAATTGTCCTGTACCATGCGTCAACCTCACCCCCGTCCCGCATTCCCGCATTTGCCCACGGGAGTGCAGCGGAGTAGCTCCAGAAGCTCCTGGGCACGCAACATTTTGGGGATCTTGGACGTGTGTGGTGTGCCCTTTTGGTTGACCACAGCCCTCAAAAGGTCCCTCAAAAACAGACCCCCCCAATTCTCGGTGAGTTGATGAAGTAGTCACACCTGACTTGAAGGCACCTGCAGGAAACGGGCAACATGTGTCGTAAACAGAAAGGGCGAAAGGTCCGCTTTGGGAAAACTGCAGTATCTACGAATTGAGTAGCCAAGTTGATGAACATACCTATAGCCTATAGCGTATAACAGCCAAATTACCCCCCACCTAACCATCCTGGTAACCTTTGGACGCAAGGCCGAGAACCACTGCAACAAATGCGGGGAACAACGATATGGTTAACCTGCATCAAAATGAGGATTTAGCAGACTCGAACCTACATTTCACGCTGGAAGCACATCACCATGACCCAGCATTGTCAAACAGCTGCCTAACTCTACACCAAGGACATGATGCAACAGCAACAAAACAAACCCACCAAGAGACCCCTGACCCTGGCCACCCTCCAACGTGATGTGAGCACTACCATGCAATTACAAGCCAACCAAACGGGCGCTTTTGGTTCTAAGGGGAGCCCCCAAAATTTGGGGATGGCCTTCCCTTTCTTAGTTGCCCAAAGCTCCCAGAAATGCGAGGTTAAGCTGTTGGGGCCACGACAAAACATGGATCAAAAAGGCAATGCCGAAAGGTCAAAAGGTCGGCAACCAAAAAAAGGTACCAACTCACAAAACGCCCCAAATGAGCGGGTCTTCTCTTTAGCTCCCCTTTACCAAGAAAAATGGGGTACCAACAAATCGACCCCAGATTCTCTCTAGCTCCCCTTAACCAAGGCCAAAAAACCGGTACCAACTCACAAAACGCCGAATTCTCTTTAGTTTCCCGCAAGCAAAACGGTACCACCTCAAAAAAAAAACGACACGCCCAAACCAAACCTGCTTGGGCCCGGCCAAGATCCGCCCCCGCGCGCCTGGCACCAGCGGTGCGCCGAGTGGTCGGCCAGGCCTTGGTGCAGCGCTGCGTGGAAGAGGCAGAGACGCTCGGCGTCCTGGCGGCGTGAAGGGCTGAGGGTGGGCGGTGCGGGGGGTGGGATGGGGTGGGATGGAGAGGATGGGGGTGGAGTGGTGGAAGGTGGGGGTGGGGTGTTTGGTTGTTGTATTTCTAGTTGCGATACATATATATATATATATATGTGCATATACACCTTGGAATCCATCGTTATGGCATAAGTTATGGCTGCAATAACTAAAGAATCTATGAATACTGGGTGGGGTGGGGTGGGGTGGGGTGGGGTAGGGTGGGGTGGGGTGGGGCGCGGTTGGGTGGGGGGAAGGTTGGGAGTTATATCCAAAGACATATATGGGTGTGTGTTCTGCCTTGGCTTCGGTGAACTTGCTTAATTTCACCTGCGAGCTTGTATGGCAACGAAGCTGGACGTACTTCCAGTGGTCACGTTGGCTTTCCCAATTCCGTTTGGAAGGAGTTGCCCTCTCACCAAGCCGCTTACTTGGGGTCAGAAAACAGGTCATGGAGTGTAGGAATTTGAACAAGCCTGATGGGGGTTGCCGAGCGTGACCAAAGCCCTACTGATTTCGCAAAGGAATGGTTCGATTCCACAGAGTAAATACTAACAAGCGTTATGAATTCCTCAGTTGCCCAAAGGACCCAGAAAGAAAAGGTTGACTCTTTTGGTTCCACGACTAGGAATGGGCCAGATCTGGTCGGCCTTGAACAAGAAGTGCTTTTTTGGCAAACAAACGTTATGGTCTCAACCGCCGTTCCGAAACTCTGGTTACCTGGTTTCTGGTTTGATTCCCCAACGCAAATGCCGCAGAAAATGTGGTTTCAACCACATCGTTCGGAAACCTCGGAACATACCCAACGTTATGGGGTCGACCCTGGTTTCATTTCCCGTGAAATCGAAGGGATGTCCCTGGCGAATGGCTCAGCGGCTCCGATCTCGGCCTGGCGCGCCAAGTTTCCCTTCACAAGCTCCCGGAGCAAGGAGCTGCTGTAGGTGTCCTGAGGCTTGCTCGGCGCCACTGAAATATTGGTACCAGAGGCTGACGGCTGACGTGGGGCTCCTCTGCTGTTTGAGTTTTGGGGGTTGGGTTTACAGGGCAACCAAAGTGAACACGATCCACACAGACACGCCCATAATATAGAGGATCTCCTTGGTGGATTGGGTGTATACTTTGAGAAATCCTGCTGATGTTCTCCCCGAGTGGGTTGGAAGCCGCACCCAAAAACAAACAATAGAACACAAAGAACGCCCACGCAATCATGCAAATCTACCATAATTCAATGAACACAACGGAGGGAGTCCTAGTGTCACCCAGGTCATTCTGGGAACCTCCATGCCTCGCAGGGACCTCATGTTTCCTTTCAAAACCACATCATTGCCCGTACCCAGGGGGGGAAGTGGACTCGGATTGAACAATGCCTCCGAACCTCTGAAAAAAGCGTTTATATTGGTTGCGTGGGGGCATCACCTCGACAGCAAAACCTGTACCTGAAAGGGCGAACTTGAAATTGAGTCTCATGGCACGCTGCTACCCTGTTCACTTGCAACCACAGGCCAATACCTGTGTCGGGGCCACTGACTTCCCGTCGCCTCTCTTGGGGATCCACGTGAACCACAGTCAAAACATGTCATGTGGTTTCCCTGACGCATTTGTTTTTGTTGGACCTTTACTGAGTCCCCCGTCCCTCCCAAAATGGCGATCAGTTCCAATGCACTTTCGCAGCCAGGCGGCGCTGTCGTCTGGCACCTGCAAGATCCCCAATACGTGGCACCTAATGCCCTCAATCCACTCGTTCTGGGAAAACAACGCCGGCACTTCCAAAACTTGCGGTGCGGGGAAGCTGTTTTGCGTTGAGGGTTCTGACACGGAACATCCGTGAGAAGAATATTCAAGGCTACACCCTGGCTCGAACACCCAGATCTATCAGCTTGCATTTGGTCCAGTTGCCAGAACACCCCTCGCAAGTCAAGGAATCAACGTTTTCCTCCAGAAGGAATTGGGCACTTTGCTGGGTTCCCCTGCCAAACCCCTTCCAAAAGCTTTGGGGCTGCCTTTAGTGGACGTTGGACATGTCATGCTCCCAAAACGGAAAGTGCAGCAGTGCCTGCTTGGATTTTTGTCAAACAAAACTGTGTGAACTTGCGATTTACTGCCAACATGGGCTTCCCCAACAAGACCAGGAACTCCGGAAGTGAGTTCCTCTTTGGGCGGGGGGGCAACCCACACCCGTTGGGCTTCGCAATCGAGTGGCCAGGCGCGGAAGGGCAGAGGGCGGGTGGTTGTTGCCGCACTGCCGGCCTCGGACGTTTGGCCGCAAGGAGTCCCTAAAAACTTGCCATCGGTGCTAGAGATGCAGGGAATGAGACATGACATGACCCCAAAAAAAAACCAGCCCTGGTGGTTTCCTTTAAGGGAATCCCCAAGTTCATTCCCTCGTTTTCTACTGAGCAACGGCCAGAAAACCCGTTCATTTCATGCACACTTGGGCGCATGAATTCGCCCCCGACTTCTTGTTCTGAAGGAGCCGGCATCCAAGAGAGGATCGGGGGATCGCCTGTACAGAATGTTGACTTAAGCAACCCAATGTGGGGGTGTTCCCCTCCAAAAGGGATGAATCTTCAATAAACCCAGGGACACTCTACTAATAATCTGGAAGTTTCTTCATCCAACATGACACCCATACATATACATGGCAACAGCGCTGCTTGAGTTGAAACTATCCGTGGAGCGTGCTCCCATCTGCCCGTGGCAAACACCCACCTAGCACGGAGCGCGAGGTGCAAATCTCCTGCGTGGGCCGTTTTAGGCTGGTAAGAGCTGGCCCTCAAGCATACATGCGTGCAAAAGTAAGCGAAATGTGCTAGTGCCGTGGGGCTGCAAATAACATCACATGTTGCTTTGTTCCACTACATGACATGCTACTTGCGCAAAATCAAAGCACATTACATGGCATCGCGCTACCAAACCGCGCCTGGTCAGCCACCAAGCAAGGGATAGCGCCCCACGTCGGACCTCTTGTGCGGCTGGGGCCCCGGCCGAACTTGCGCCGCGCCTTGGCCGCCAGAGGCTCGCAGCAGGCGCCGGAGGTGCCGGGCTCCTCCAGGCGTCGGCAGTGGCGGCTGAGGCCACAGCCGCAAGGCAGGTCCCACGATCCTGCAGCCGATGTTATTGGAGCAGACGTTGAGCTCATGCACCTGTCTGCGTCTGCACCTGTGTCTGTGCGTGTTTGTTTGTGTTTTATTGCGTGTTTGTCGGTCTCTCTGTGTTTCTTGTGGCTGTGTGCGCCCGTGTGTGCCTGTGTCTCGCCAAGCCAGGAAGAGGTGAGCCACCTGGGGTCGTTGAGAGGAAGGCCAAAGCTTACGTAGGGCTATCTGGGTTGGAGGGAGCCCTACCGTAAGCCGCGTAAGGAACCCTAGAACAAGGGAAGCAACTACCATCTGGCAGGATCACAAAATCGATTGAGAACTACCCACCAATGGATTTCCAGGGGTCAGCAGGGCGCCCTTGGCGTCGATTTTGAAAGGAGCTTAGGGGTCTCCTTAAAGGAACGCACAAGGGATGGTTTATGGGGGGGTGGGGTGATCCCTCGCAAAAGCAACCAACCAATCAATCCATCGTATCGAACAAAACTAAGCGAAACAAATCCAATGAAGCAATCAGCGAAGCAATCAGCGAAGCAATCAAGCAGCTATATGGGTGTCCCTCTTTTTGAGGGAACTCCAACATGCTGGGTTTCAAGAAGCACCAAAAGGACACCACTCATGTAGTCCCCGAATTTGTGAGACATATCCCAACCTTTTTCACCTGGAACCTGCCGTTCGGGACCATGGTCCTACCAGGACCATCTCCCCGTCGAACGGTTCCCTAACTGGGAGGGTATAACTTATAACTTCTGACCCTGGTCCTGAGCTGAGCGCCTCAAGCTTCTCCGCCCAGCCAAAGTAGGCCTCGCAGCACATGAAGGGCAGCACCCCGCACTCCTCAGGGATCGCGATCCCAGCGCGCGCGCTCTCGCGCGCCAGCCGTAGGGTGTGGGCTTCCCACTTGCGTTGCGTTTGAGTCCACTTGGGAAAAATGAGAAGATATATGTTCAGTAGCGAAATGGAGTCCAACTTTACCCTCAAGTTGGAAAAGCAGACATCTTCTTTTCAGCAAATGGAAGGTAGTGGGAACTTCGGATTAAGACCGGAACCCATGGTTTATTAATAGGGGTGGGGCCTTTAGGCGCACCCCCCATCAATAGCATGTTTGTTTTATAACTGTAGGTTGACATGGAACCTAAAACAATCCTTTGTAGGAATCTCATCTTGGTGGTCCCTTTTTGGGTTCTATGTTACTTTGGGTTAATTTGGAGGTTGGCAATTCTTCTTCGTCCCCCAAGTTGCCACGAGGAAGTAGGGAAATCGGGTGGTCTTGACCCTTGCCCCGCGGACCTGTCTCACCCTCCTCAAGCTAACACTAGAAAACCAATGGTTTGCAAGTTGCACATGCGTGAAACACCCTCAACAGGACTAGGTTGGAATTAGGACCCCAGCAACACATTATCTTTCTTGCAGGGTAGTGGAAAACAAAAGGAACCCCCCCAAAAAAAAAGAAAAGAAGAGGAACTACTTCTGGGGGAAGAGGAGAACTCGCTTCCTTGGTAAAGACACGGCGATGGTCTTAGGGGAAAATCATGGGCTGGTTCCCGCGGGGAAAAGGGCTGGTTCCCGAGGTGGCGCGCTGGGTGGCTGGGTTTCGGACTGGTACGGGCGGTTTTTTCAACGGGAGGCTTGCTGGGAGATTTGAGGCTTGCTACGTTGTCACTCAAAGGGGATTGGTTTCCTCGGTACAGAAAGTGGCGAAGCCCTGAAGCCCGATTCCCCCGTCCGTGAGAATCAGTTGGGGCAATGTAAAAGTCCTTTTGGTTGAAAATCGCCGGATTCCCCTCCCTAAGGTCCGAATGTTTTGGGTTCTCCATTGGAGGGTCCCTTTTGGGGTCTGCATTGGAGGGGTCATGACCCGGGCTGCCAGATTCCGAGTCACCGACACGCCGGTCAGCCGAGGAGCTGCTTGCGCGGCGCCGTCGCAGCGTGTGAGCCCAGTCTCGGCCAGTTGCACGCCTCGGCGCGAGCGAGCGCTGCTTGCTGCGCTGCCCCAAGCCAGGGGATCCGGCCGTGGCTCAAAATACCAAAATGACACCGTACTGCACCGTACTGGCGCAACAAGTGTTTTTTTTTCATTGAGCCACCCCCAAATCCATGGAGAATTCAGATGCCCCCCCCCCACAAAAAAACAAAAAACAAACACCTGTCGGTTGCCTTGATCAAGTAAACCCCAGCTTTCAGAACCTTGGGCCTTAACCGCGGCTCCCCCGGCTGAGCCTCTGATCCTGGAACCAGCTCTCAGCGATGAAGAGACCGACAGCGAGACGTGGCACAAAATGGGCGTGGCGCGAAATGAAACGATTGGAGGGGCAAGCCGCAGGTTGTGGCAACCGTGTTTCCATGTTACCAGATACCAACCCATTTTGGAATTCCGGTTTTGTGAATTCGCCACTGCCAAATGAGAAAATGAAGCAAGCGCATGAAGAGGACAGGTGAGTGTGCAAAGTCGGTGGGTGCATTGTTGCTTCTTCATGGCTCCTTTGCCTGGAGTTCATTAGATGTGGCACCAGTCTCTGTCAGGAGTGTAATGGATGGCCGCGACATCTATTTCGCAGCACGGTTTTCCAATGAAACCATGGTCGAAGGTACTGTTCGTTGGTATCTGCATTGGGGAGAGACCGAAACATAAGCCGTTGGGCTTCTCAACGCTGCGAGAGACTCGGATGGAAGAGGGTCCAGGTGCATGATCCGCTTGGAGCCGTGGCCACTCGTCACCCAAGTGCATGCTCATTGCTTGCGGTCAAAACCCACACAGGGATCCTTACATTGCCTTGCAAATGGCGGTTTCCCTTTATTTTGGTGGACTAAAGCCATGTTTCAGATTGGAAAAATGTATCTTTTAAGGGGCCCTGCCACAGTATCAGAAGACTCCTCCGAAACTCACCGGGCCGCCCGGACCCCGTGCCGTTGGCGCCAGGAAGGCATCGCCTTGCTGCCCGCAAGAAAACGTCATGTGGCGCGCCTCCTCCCCAAAAAAACTAGGACAGAGGCGCCAGCCCCAAAACACCTGCCCTATAACTTTGCTGGTAATGGGACCTCCTTCGCTCCCCACTTCATACTTTCAATCATCCTGGCTCCTTGCGCCCTTGGAAAAAAGGAAGAAACTGAACATGAGGGCCATTGGCTTTTTGTTCTACTTTGATCTTGTGCATGCAAGTCTGGAACTGCTGTTTGCACTCTCTTTGCTTCTGATTTCTTTAGGCGTGTTTAAACAAAATGCTGATTTGTAAAGAAGATCCTGTTGGAATGGAAGTCACAACTGCTATGTTGAAAATAGAATACCTGTCTGTCTAAAAAAATATATATTTCCTATTTGAAGTTAAGGTCGATGTCAAACAATTCAGGTCATGGCACTGCCGCGTCTCAACCCGGCAACTTCTGAACCCCATCAAGCCTGCAACGGTAGCCTGCCGTCGGCCAACTGTTTCCTATGCCTCGCAGAATCAGGGCCCGCTTCGCCACGTTGCAAACCATTTCTCTGGAGTTTCCCCTAGCTGCTGGCATGCCAGCGACAGGCTGCAGGTGTGGAATTGGCGAGTTACTTGTTTCCCCGAGACTCGACACGAGAGAAAATGAGTGAGTCCCTTGCCGTTGCAAACAAATCGTGAGACTTAGCATGTCCCTGCCGCATGGACCATGGCCTGCTAAAAACGTGGACGCAACCTCATCTATGTTTAACGAGATCGCCAGAATGGTTTCAGAATGGTTTCTTGTCCATGTTATTTGCCCTTCGCGCAGGTGGTTAAATGGCTTCTTGTTTTGGACACATGCAAGCCAACCATAGTTCATATCGTGCTCACTCCTTCATGTTTCAGTTTTCCCTTGCTCAAATGGACCAAAACCGCTAAACCAAAAGCGCCCCCTCAGCTTTGATTCGCCTCCCCTATCAGGACCTGTGTTGGGTGAGAACTCCTTTTGGTTTTTAAAGGACACCCCAAAAGAAACAAAGAACCAAACCCAAAAGGAACGCCTTTTGGGTGTTTAAAGGGAAAATTCCTTTAGGAAAACCAAAAACCCACCGACATCTCCGCATGGCAAACCCACCCCGCCCCTCCTTTGGCCGGGCGTCGACAGGCATAGGTCGTGGCGGGCCAAGGCCGCCAGGTGCAGGGCAAAGCGTCCAGGGGCTCGCCGCCTGATGTGTGTGTGTGTGTGTGTGTGTGTGTGTTTTTCTTCTCGGAGGCGTCGCTTTTCGGTGGCCTTTTGGAGAAAACTCGATGGCCCTGGTAAATGGTTTATAATTAAACCCCATCTAAACCAGGGCCCTCTATTTTTTAAGCAAACCAAGGGAAACATCGATGGTCGGTAATGTTAACCCCGGATTAATAAACCCCTGGTTGATTCATAGGGGGTCTCTTTTGGTGGGGATTCGGACCACTTTTGGAGGGAACACCCCCCTAATACTGGGACAGGTTTTTAAATCCTGGGCCAACTTTAAATGGAAATAAACCCCATCTAAACCAGGGCCCTCTATTTTCTTAAGCGAACCAACCAAGAAGGGTCGCTGTCGTTCACTCTCTCTGCCGTTGCGTGAGGGTCTTGATGCCGTTGCAAAGGAAAGAAGGTGCCCACTGATCGTCAAACGCACCCGAGGCTGTCAGAAGGTGGTGTGCGGTGTGCATCAAAGGACACACTTTCGTTGCGCTCGTCGCGTTCTCCCTCAAACGTGTCTCCTGAAGAACTTATATTCTGATGGAGTGCATGTCCCGAAAAAGCGACCCAACTGGTTGTTTACCACCAAACTACTACAGACATGCCTTCCCAAACAGGTATAACACCCAGGACAGCGTGGTAAAAAAGATGGGTTTCCCTGGAAAAGATGGGCATACAATCCATCTAAACCAGTGGAACCCACCTATGCCTAGGGTGTTTCCTGAAGGACCCCTTCCTTCTCACTGGTAACCTTGAGGGTCCAATTGAAACTTTGAGGACCGCCTGTGGAATTGTATCATCTTATATGCTGATGATCTGATGAGTTTCGTGGTGAAACCCATGAGACTGTCACGCTTCAGCTGCCTCGACAGAATCACGCCCTCACTTGCAGCTTCACGTTTTCCTAAAGCTGGTCCACAAAAAAGAGGCAACATACATTTGGTCCGCCTTTTTCTCCTTCCCAGAAGGCCTGAGAATGGGGCTGGGTCGACAATCATCACTTTGGCACAGGTCTCCCTCGAGAAACTCTGACAAATCGCTTTGGACATGACTATTGTGGATGGACAACATCTATTTCGCTCCAGGTTGGAAACCATGGTTAAAACCAATTTTTGTTGGCATTTATATACATGGAAAAACAAATCATTCCAGGGTTTTATTAGGTGGTGCGAGATGGATTTTCGTCCATCCACAGTACTCCTTTGGCACAAAAGCTCTGCCTAGAGGAACAATTGAGATTGGAATGCCGGGGGACGCTCTCATGGGCATAGGTGTCCTTTTGGAAAAATGGATTGCCCTGGCAAAGTGAAAAATTAGAATCCAGCTAAACCAGTGCCTTCTATTTTTAACCACACCTGAAGAGAACACCTAGGCTCATGGGATTGCGAGTGGAAGTCCCTCAGCTCAAAAGGGGTCGCTGAAAATCTTCCCTTCAAGTCCGCCCCGACAGTCAACCTTGGGATGTCTTGCGGGCCGTCAGACACGGACAACGCAATTCTGGGCTGCCCGATGCCCTGCGTGGGTCAAATGGAAACACCCACTAAACACCAAAAGCCTAAAAAGCTAAGGAACCGGAAGGCTGGGACCAAGATGGATGAAACCGAACGCTTGAACTCCTTTAAAAACCCGCCAAAAAGGGACGACCAACTCCGCACCGTTCGGCGAAAAGTGCCGCACAGGGCCGTAAGGCGCCGGCCCACGGCCGCTTTCAGCGTGTCACGGACAGCGCGGATCCGAAGTCCCGGACCTTGGCGCAGCTCAGCAGCGCAACCCACGAAATGTGGCTCGAGACATCTTCGACGGGTGTCCTTCTCTCAAAGGGTGTGGCTTGAAGGAAAATATCCGTCCAAAACGGTCCCAAAAAGTGACTTGGTCGCAAATGAAGCCTGGAAGTTGGAGCCCGCTTGACTCAAGCCTTGCAGAAAAAGGAGCTGGTTTGTCGGGCTCCAGGTTTTGCATGGGGGGAATTAGGGTACTGTAGGGTACTGGGTGTGTAAAGAGTTTCCTTTGCCCATGCTCACACAGACGAAGCTTCCATCCAATTGGTTGCTTGCCCTGGTGTTTTGGTGGTTAAAGGAGGGGGTTTCCATGTACTGGATGAACCAGGGAAAAAAAGCAAAACCCGGATGGTGGGTACAATCAGCATCTGTTCAGAGGAAGCCTGTTGAAAAACCAGAACTTTCCCTTGCACCTTTGGGAAAAGGATGGTTGGAGGGTGTCCTTTGGGGAGTGCGTGGGAGCATAGGTGGCCTTTTGGAAAAATAGATGGCCCTGGTAAATGGAATAAACCCCATCCAAACCAGTGCCATCTACTTTTAACTAAACTAACCTAAAAAAGGACACCTATGCGTCGGAGGATTTCTTCAACACCTTGCCATTTTCTGAGGTGTCAACTGAGCCTGTGCCCCATGCGCCTGGAAAGCTCTGCTTTCCCCCAAACCACCGGAGAGCCGATCTACGCAGAGACCTCATAGAGAAAGACGGCGACTAAAACAAAAACACTTGGCTGTGGGTCAAAACCAAAGGTACCATTTTGGGGTGGGTGCCCACCCATTTTCGAACCTGCTTTAGTGGATTTTTAGTTGGGATAGGGATGTTCACTGGGCTTGCGGGCTTCTGACCCACCATTTGAGGTGAACAGTTTACCGATTTTCGATTGAACAGCTTCCAACGGCAAAAACAAAAACTGAAATTCTGAGTGTGTGAATTAGAGGCGCCAGACTTGGCGCCAAAAGAAAAGACATCCCCAAGTGCCAGCAGAGCCAAAGAGCCAAAGAGGTGAGGCCCCCAGGCTGTCCCAAAAAGCTTCAAGTTGAGCTGAGGAATGGATGGAATGGGTGGACGGGGGGCCTACCAAGCGCATTCTTGGAAGGGTTAAGGGTTTAGGGTTTAGGGTTTAGGGTTTAGGGTTTAGGGTTAAGGGTTAGCCCTTGAGGGGGGGAGGATTCTGGAGGGCTTGTAAGGTTTAGGGTTTAGGGTTTAGGGCTTGGGGGGCTGGAACCCTAGGCCATGCCAAGCCGAAAGCTTCTCGGAGGCCTGGGTCACTTTGTGCAGTACGGAAGATCCGCCTCTGTCTCAACCTATGGGCGCAATTGGTTCAAAATCCGATCTGCTTCAGTCCAGTCAAAGATCCAAGCAACTAGCTCATTCAAGATGTGTCAGGCAGTATGTACCCGAAAGTGGGTACCTAGTTGCCCAGCAACTGGTTAGACAGTTAGACAGTTAGACAAAGACTTGGGACTTTTGGGGGGGGGGGGTTGTTTGTGTAGCTTTCGGTGAACAACTCCACACCCCTCCAGAAACCCTGCAGGAAGTCAGGGAATCCCAAAAGCATCTTCACAGGCAGCTTGGGCCCCAAAGGTTCTGAAAATGGCTTACCCGTTCAAACCGACCATAACAAACCCCAAAACGGGAAATCCTTGCCTCAACCTCCCCCCCTTCCCACAAAAAAAGAAACATAAACAATAAACAAACAATCACCTCCCGCCCTCCCAAAACCCCAAAACCTCAAACCCCCACCCCCCAACACTTCCCAACCTCCTCCCCGCCCTGAAGGAAATCCCGGCCCCACACCCCCTCCACCCCCTCCACCCCTACCACCCCCTCCCAACCTCCCAAGGCCGCGGGGCCAAGCTCCAGCACCGGAGCCTCCGCAAAGAGCTCCGCCACCGACTTCCCCCGCGCGCGGCCCAGCGCACTCCGCAGCTCCTCCGCGTCCACCTGGCGCCTTGACAGGGAAGAGAGACGAGACACCAGAGACGTTCCATGTCGCTCCGCTTGCCTTTTTGGGGTACCCTGGAAAAATATGTTTTGTTGTTTTTGTTTTCCATTTTTTTTGTTCAAGTATGTTTTGTGGTGAAATCGATTCCCTCCAACAGGGGAACATGTACAGTCTATTCTTGAGTACATGGAAGATTTCGGCCGCAGCTGCTTGCTCACTAGCTGGGTGGTTTGCACTTTCCGTGAACAAGAACACCGAGAAAGGGAGCCATCAAAAACGGCCCGGTCAAGTGACCCAGGCATGACTTACTCACCGCGTTTGCAGGGGGTATGTAGTTTGTGGCCACCTTGCTTTCCTTCAAAAGACCATCGCTACAAGACCACCTCCTTTCCTCCTCTGCAGGAATCTGAAAACAGGTACTCAACATGACACTCGAGCCTTACTCCAGGCTTGTTCATTGTTCACCGCTCATGTATGCCTACTCCTTGTTTAGGCTTATCCTTATAGAGATATGGTCCATACGCTGAGTCCTTTGGATTGCCCGCATGCTGCCTGTTGAATGATACCTGGAAGTGCCCACGGCCCCCCCACTCTTGCAATCCTTGCCAACTAATGGCCACCGGTGCTTTGTAAAGCCCCCCCCTCCCCGACCTCTGGAGCATCTTCAGCCATCTTCCTTTCACTCCGGGCCCCTTTCCAGCCAATTTGGGAATCTGGAGAACCTCTTTGGTCCTTGCCTTCTTGGCCCCTTGTTTCTTGTCGCCCTCAAAAAGGCAGCAAGTCTTTGCTTTGAGCCCACAAGGGCCCTGATGAATTGTGGGAAGGTCCAAAGAAGGTGGTGTTTGGGATTTGGCACCCCCCCCAAAAGCGCTAAAGCCCAGCAGACATATGGTGAAAAATACACCTCCCGAGTGGGAATTCCCATTAACTCCCAGAAAGTACCACAGAAAATGGCAGCCTCAAAGTCTTCTGGCATGGACTTTGGAAGGCCGGCATGCTCTTTCGACAAGCTTGTGCACTTTCCTGGTTGTATCAACAAATGGTACCTCGAACCCTCCGGAACCCTCCAAATCCCAAATTTCAAGCTGCCCCAAACCATCTGGTTTTGGGCCCCATACCTTTCAGCTGTTGCTGCAAAAAGTGTAGAGTTGAGTGCAAGTACATGCCACGAATCCACTTTGGTCTGGTCATCCCTGTTACACAAGGAAGTTGCGCATGCCAGCACCCTCGCCTCCGCATCTTGCGGAACCGGGGGAGGCGCACGACGCCGGACCTGCCCCAAGTGCCCGAGAGGAAGCGTCAGCGGACGCGCTTGAAATGGAATATGGACCTTGGTCTTCCAGGACCCTGAAAAACATTGATGACCAGCAGTGAGCAGCAATTGCACCTGTAAGGGATCAGGCATCAACTTGCAAGTCGTCCGGACAAAAACAATCATCAATCCAACAAAAATCCCCGCCAACTGGGAGAACCAATGTCCCACACGCACTATGCCTGCAACCTACAGAAGGCAAACATACGGCTGTCAGGGTCCAATCTTTGTTGGGCCCGGTAGGCCCTGAGCTAGGGTTTTTCAACAACACCCCGGAACCATGGAACAACCAAGAACAACTAATTCCACATCCCAAGGCAAACAAGATGTTGCCGTTCCCCCGCAGGTTTGCTGAGGGGGGCTCAAAACAGATGCTCTAAAACAAACGAGGCTTCCGAGAGCCAGGCTGGGTGCGATCAATAGGTGGACCATACTGTTCAATGGGTGCCTTGATGTTTAACTTGTTGTCACATTGGATTGGGGCAACCATGCTTAATTTACCTCTCTGCAGCAATCAGTGGACGTGGGCCTTCCCCAATCATCAAGTAGTCTTCCAAACCCCTCTTGTCAGCTTCCATGATTCCTGGAGGGAGGGCGGCAGTCGAAGGGAAACCGGGGAGGGACAGCGCAGATTTTGTCATTTTGCCAGACCCCCAGCTGTCGTTTGCCAGCCGACTAAAAAAATGGGGCAGAACCAACAAACAAGCAAAAGCCGAACCCCGAATGAACAGAACCCAAAAAACCAAGACAATCAACTTGAGCCAACCGATGACCAAAAGCAACGAGAAAGAACCCCCAAAGACTTGATCCGTTTCGTGTCGCTTCGTGTCTCTTCGTGTCCGAGGGTCTCCGCGGCGAAGGTGAGCCACTCCCCCATCGCCAGACCAGCCCGGGAGAAGTAGTCGAAGGTGCAGCCCGGCTCCTGCGAGCGAGAATTTGTCTGGGGAAAAAGCTGGAACCTACTGGTTATGGGGGCTGGGGGGGAGGGAGGGGAGGGGGAGGTAGCCCAAGTAGGCCCTAAATAAGGGACTTTTTTGGGCTTCCTCGCGAGGGGTATAGATTCCCTTTAAGAGGGTGCAACATACACGACATACTTACTAGTTCAGGTGGTATCCCCCACAGCAGAATCCTTTGCCACCCTGCGCAACCTTTTCTGAAATCTGCCCCAAACTACCCCAGAGCTTTCCTTTCGCAGACACCCCATAGCTTTCAGCTGTCAGGGAAAAAGCTGGAACCTACTAATTTAAGAGGGTGTAACATACACGACATACATACTAGTTCAGCAGAATCCTTTAGAACCCTGCGGAACCTTCCCTGAAATCTGCACCAAACTACCCCACATCTTTGCTGGGCAGAGACCCCATAGCTTTCAGCTGTCGGGGAAAAAGTTGAAACCTACTGGCGGGGTATAGATTTCCTTTAAGAGGGGTGTAACATACACGACATACAAGCTGTCAGGGAAAAAGTTGGAACCTACCGGGGGGGTATAGATTCCCTTTAAGAGGGTGTAACATACACGACATACTCAGAAGTTCAGGTGGCATCCCAAAAAGCAGAATCCTTTGGAACGCTGCGGAAATTTCCTGAAATCTGCCCCCAAACTAGGTCCACGGGGCATATTCCGCCGTGGGTCAAAGTCGACATCTCAATAACCCCGGACAGAACGCACCCTGTTCTCCCTGTAAATAGCGTGGTTTCTCAACATGTTGCAACGACATTTTTGCCCGGCAGTTCCTGGGGAAGGAAGTTCGCATTTGTGTTTGCAAGTTAAACTGCACGTTTGGCTCCTGTAAACCTACTTCAGCTTTTTTGCAAAAAAGGCTGAGCCTTCAATGATTCAAGAAGACACGACCTAAGACCTGGAGCTAGCCTTTTTTGATTTGAACGATTTGGGGCTCAGGGCTGAGGCTGCGCGTGAGTGGGCGGGCTTTCTGCGCGTGAGCGCGTGTGCTTACCATTTGGCAGGCGCGTGCGCGGTGCGAACAACAAACATTGGCTGGTGTACCCGGTTCTTGTCCAACAGGTAAAGTCGCCTTCCAAAAAACAACAACAGTTCCATTGGTCAGAGCCCAGTGCCTGTGAGACTCTGCGAGCAGTTGGGGGTCTGCCTGATGTTCGCCCCATCCATGGGACATTGCCGGTCCTTCCCCCTTTGAAGGAAACTTCACCCGCGAAGAAGTGGTCCGCATTTTTTTGGAGCTATATGTCACCTCCCTTGATTAAAGCTGCAATTCACTGGCGAGTTCAATTGAAACTGCAACTTTTGAAGGGTTAAAACCTTGAAGCTGAGGAACGCCTTGCAAAGGCCTTCAAAAAGGCAAGCTCATTTTGTGCCCCTTACGGACGAGCTCGTCATCCTCCCCTTTCGCAGTTTGTGTGTCAAAAGTTCACTGGGTTGTTGGAAGCCAGTGCACTATCAGCGGGACAACCCGACACCTGCAAGTTGCCCCACGCCACCTAAACATCGAACCTCTGCTTAAAAAAACAACTTCACATCCTGAGAGGCTAACCTGTTTCTACTGGATTGGCGAAGGGTGTTGCGGGTCTATGGGCACTTTGTGAATGATTTGCATGGTTTGCCTCAGGTGAAAATGCCGCGGCTTGGCGCACTTCATCTCAGCATTTGTTACAGTAGGTTCCACAACCATCCTTTTTGCCCCTGGCGCGTATTATTACCTTTGCAATTACTTCCACTATCTTCCACTCTTCGGGTTTCTATGGAAGGCTCTATCCCAGGACCACCCTTGATAAACCCTTCGCCAGACTTCAGCAAGTGATGCTGTGTTTTGGTCCTGGGCCGCGTATGTGAGGCATTTTCCGTGCTGGGCATGGACGGAAGCGAAACCGAAAAAGGACAGGGACAAGTGTTCATGTTTGGCTCTTGGGTTGCTGGTTTCCCTTACTTAAGCCACGTTCAATGGTCAATGATCCCAAACCTACGAGTTGATACCAGAGGCTCAGAAGTTCATATTTGACATGGCGTTGACTCTACCTGGGAGCCCTTCTTTAGTGTCACCTGACCTGCCCAAAGGGTATCCTCAAAAGAGACATCACCTTCATACCCGCTTCAGGGCCTTTCCATCCTCTCGCGGCCAGCCGTCAAATCCGTAGGGCTTGTAGGCTGGACAGTTTCCTCGCAAGGCCACAATGTGACTGGCTTGTCTTTTGTTGATGGCGCCATTGGGGCTGTGTTAAACTCCAGGGAAAAGCAGTTTTGATCCCAGACTCCGGACACCCACTTCTCGCACCTTCACTATTCGCACCAAGGAGCTTCTCTCAAACGAAAAGCCAAGGAAACTTGCCAGCTCAACGCACAATCAGAAGGCGTGTCCCAAACGAGAGCACGGCCACAGTGTTCGCACTCGTGCGCCGGGAAGTGCGAAGGTTTCCTTGCACTGACCAACAAAGAAAGTGGTTCCCTTGAGCCTTCCTGCACACATCTGATACCTTGGCACTCCCAGGTTCCAGACGAAGGCAAGCTGCAGACGCTTACCGAAGCCGGCCGGGGGGCGGCAGTTCATGGTGTCTGGCAGGACGACCCTCCGCTGCAGCAGCATGGCCACCTTGTTCGGGGGTCAAACTCACTTTTTGGAACAGAGGAACCGCAAAACCGGGTAGCTTGACCCTGGGTTCTCCCAACAAAAAGTAGCCCCCATGTTTGAAAAGTCACAAGCCCCCATTTTCGGACAGCAGGGGGCCCTTCCGCATTGAAATGCTGCGAACGCCATGTCCACAGCAACAAGGGTCTACGCCAAAAATCGGAAGTTTCCAGCATCACTCCGCCACCCAGGAAGTGAGTCGCAAGTTATGAAGAAAATGTATCTACCAGCGTCTCGACTGAGAAGATGTAGTCTCCTACGATAAACACGCTTCTTCGAGGGAGCTTCCCTTGAGCATCGCTCCGCCCCGGTTCCGTCCAGCTGCTGCCTCTCCCCGGTTCCATCCAGCCGCGCGGTTCCGTCCGGTCGGTTACACCGGGGGTTGGCCAACATATGTCCACTCCCCCCCCAAAAAAGAAACAGATACAAACCTATGTTTTTATCATAGTGGCGAGTTATTGTTTTACGCCTGACTGCGAGCTTGAAGACCTGGAAGGTGACGGCCCATGTTCAAGATGGAGGAAGGCGGCCTCCAAAGAAATATAGAAGCCATTTCCAAATGCCCTAAGAAGGTGGTGTCAAAACAACGTGGATTTTGTAGTGAGCAAACAGACTGCAAGGGTCCCTCAAAGACCGGCGCCATGGTGTCCTAGTGGTGCGCCAACGGTGTGGGGGTGATGTTTGCCTGGCGCTTATGGGCGGTGTCGTCCCGGTGGTATATGTGGTTCAGCGAGAGTGTCCCGGTGATCTTTGTAGCTTCTCGGGATTGCCAGGACAGCTCCGCCGTTGTTAGTCAAGTCTGTTTGCTCTTGGGTGGCTTCACCTGGAATTTTAGATCCGGAGTCACAGAAGGCAATCCCGAAAGGCCCCGAACGCGACGCGCGCCTTTGCCAGCGTCCGCAACGCGCGGCTGCGCGTTTGAAAGCAGCTCAACTGACTGAAATGTTGCCAGCTGCACAGACCAGCGGAAAACTGGTTCTGATACTGCCTCGTAGATGATGCGGGCCGCGGGCCAAACATTGGGCACATGTCGACTATGGAGTAACTGCCTTTACGCAGAACGCGTAAACTGCAATGCGAGCACCATTCCACCCCTTTGGTTTTCCACTTCGGCAACATAACACGTTTGCCATTTCTCTGCCCGGAACTGGCTTCACCCCTTGGGGGCCCAGAATTTCGACATGACCCGACCAAGAAGGCCCAGACGACTAACGGGTCGGTATCCTAGGTGGGCAGGATTTTGTCAACCCCCCCAAGTTTACGGTACGAGTACTTGCTCTGGCTGCGATAACGGAAATAGAACAGTTTAGGGGGCCAGGGGTGGAGACAGGAAACGGGTTCCGGACTCCATTTCCTTGGCACTTTGTAGGGTTGTTTGACTTGCCTGTCGCCTGTATCATCTCCATCCTGGGCGAGTTTGGGGAGGAATAGTAAGGAGATGCCATGCTTCTTCTTCTTCTTCCCATTCACCTTTCCATATCTTGTTAACTCCTGGTGAATGGGAGAGCTTTGACATAGGTAAGAGAAGAGTGACTAAGAAGGATGGAATGGCGTGGGAAGATAGGATCCGCCACTCACAATCTCCTTCCATCTCCTCCTCCCACTCTCTCATACCCATCTACAGCTTCTGAATTAGACTGACGAGGAATTACCTGTTTGGGACGGAATTGAGGATAGAGATGAACGAATGGGTTGATACTGGCGGATAGAAACGGAACCCATTCACACTCCTTCGTCTCTCAACCCATCCCGGATGCACGGCCTGGCTTAGAGACGTGCGGGCCCTCCGTTGCTTTCTGCTCCCCTGCTAAAAGGTTAACTTTTGGTGGTTTAATGGAAAACCCATTAGTTGGCAAAAAGTTAAAGTCCTAACATCCAAGCAAAATGCACCAAAGTGATCATCTCCTGGCCCGGCCTTCCCCCAATCTCTCGCAGTAGAAAGGGGATGATGCAGAGATGCGAGATGACCCGCGGCTTCCCACAAATCCCTCTCATCGCGGGTAAGCAGTAATCAGTAGCAAGGTCTCTTGTTACATGACTGAACGAGCGAAGTGAGAGAGAGCGAGAGGGAAGGGAAAAGGAAAGAGACGGCTCTTCCCCAGCGTGCACGAAGAAAACTACCCAACCAGGTTGCCTTGAACATCACCACCTCCCCGCTCCCACTGCAACCTCAACCAACTGCGCCCACGAGTTGGATATCTTGGATACCTTTTCGGACCAAAGGAAGCTGATGAGAAGATGCGTACCAACCCCAAGCTTCAATCGGGGGGAGGGATAGAATCCCCCCCTGCAAAACAACCATTCCCGAAAACCGAGAAAAACCAAAAAAAGTGAGACCCCCCCCCGCCAACCCCCCCCCCCCAACACAAAAACAGCAAACAAACAAACAAACAAACAAACAAACAAACAAACAAACAAACAGATGAAAACAAAAACACTTCAGAGAGAAGTGAGAACCAACAACCCCTTCCGTTCTAAACCTTCCTCTTAAGCAAATGGAAGTCAAAAAAAACCGGAGCAAGCAACACCCCCCCCTCCTTGCCCCCCCCCCCGTAGACGCGACGCCTCCAAGGCGGCGGCCAGGTCCTCAAAGTCCTCCGCCAGCCCCAGGCCTCTCTGCGACGCCGAAAAGCAAGAGCGCGCCATTCCACGGCAAGAAGACACAAACATTCGTCCATACAACTATCAACATGTAGATATATATATATACGTATACGGTCCGGACGTTTACAGGAGGAATTCAAAGGATTCAATGTTTATACTGTTTAAGAAGCAACTTCGAAGCTTGCAAACATAAAAGGATTATGTTCGCGCGATCTCAACGTTGCCGAGGCGTTCAAAGCAGAACAGTAGGATGGTCACCGAGAGCAAAAACACTGGGACAACAGCTGCTTTTTCAACACAAACTGTTATTCAGTTCATTGGAAACGTCACAAAACACTGCAAGGGCTCATGTGAAATGGACGCGGCTTTCGAAACACTGCAAAACAGTACGAATGCAAGTCCCCTGCAAGTTGACAAAGTGAGAGTTGTCTAATTGTGTGGCATGCTTCATGAAAATCACCGCCGATATTATTGGATCTAGAAGCCCAGCGCGGCAGCACTCTTGCATTTTCAGCAAGTCCACAAAGGATGTTTGAAGCAGTTCGCAGGATCTTTGAAAGCACGTCGCCGGCATGGGCATGCTCCAGCGATGGGGCCCCGGAGCACCCGTGCAAAGCACGCACTTGTCGAGCATACGCGATTTTCACGCGCTTGCTCTGGTGAGTCCTGAGAAAGAGGCCATCGCCAAAGCAAAAAGATTTGACCCTGAACAAAGCAGTCGTCAGCGCGGAAATCAAGCAAAACGGAAGCCCCATCCTGGTCACGCACTGGGCTGGGCGGAGTGTCGCGCAGATTCAGCAGCGCATCCATGGTCACGGACATGGTTGCGCGAACGAAGCAGGAACTGACTAGTCAGCAAAAAAAGACCTCCAAGCGCATGCGCGATCAGGAAAAATTGCACAGTCATGCGTGGCCAAAACTTGTGTTGGGTGGGCTCACCTGGGCGGGGGCGCTTACCATGTGTTGGGTGGGATCACTTGGGCGGGGGTGCTTCCCATGTGTTGGGGATCACTTGGGCGGGGGTGCTTACCATGTGTTGGGTGGGATCACTTGGGCGGGGGTGCTTACAATGTGCTGTGGGATCACTTGGGCGGGGGTGCTTACCATATGTGTTGGGTGGGATTGCTTGGGCGGGGGTGCTTTCCATGTGTTGGGTGGGATCACTTGGGCGGGGCTGCCTACCATGTGCTGGGCGGCATCAAACAAGACATAGCGAACGTGATGTCATCTTGTCGGGGAACCCCCTGTCTGGAGGGTACATGCGTCATCTCGTCGGGAACCCCCCGTCTGGAGGGTACATATACACAGTGTTCGGTATATATATATATATAGAAATATGTGTGTGTATGCATATATGATATGAATATATAAATATATCTACATATATATATATATGTATAGATGCAGCGATATGATTTAGAGTTCCGCCATATCTATATATTCGTGGTTGTTTTAAAGATTAATGATTGATTGATTGATTGATTGATTGATTGATTGATTGATTGATTGATTGATTGATTGATTGATTGATTGATTGATTGATTGATTCATTGATTGATTGATTGGTTGGTTGATTGGTTGGTTGGTTGATATTCGCTTAGTGAAGTCATCTTTGTTTATTGATTTACTGAGTGATTTGTTTCAACTCCATTTATACATATAGGTCATAGGGGTATGCATATCTGTATTAAGACATGGATGCATACACGTGTGCAAAAAACTTCTGAACATGATACTATGTGTGCATGTATTGTGCAAACCAGCACGCACATACATGCATAACCGCGTGTGCGTGTGCGTATGTGCGTGTGCGTATGTGCGCGTGTGAGTGTGAGTGTGAGTGTGGGTGTGAGTGTGAGTGTGAGTGTGAGTGTGAGTGTGAGTGTGAGTGTGAGTGTGAGTGTGAGTGTGAGTGTGAGTGTGAGTGTGAGTGTGAGTGAGTGTGAGTGTGAGTGTGAGTGTGAGTGTGAGTGTGAGTGTGAGTGTGAGTGTGAGTGTGAGTGTGAGTGTGAGTGTGAGTGTGAGTGTGAGTGTGAGTGTGAGTGTGAGTGTGAGTGTGAGTGTGAGTGTGAGTGTGAGTGAGTGTGAGTGTGAGTGTGAGTGTGAGTGTGAGTGTGAGTGTGAGTGTGAGTGTGAGTGT